GCAGTAAGTAATCCCAGTGGTTTCTGATGTGATCTTGAGGAAAATCCTCCCAGATCCAAAACTGGAAGCTGTTTTATCCACAGTCACGTGAGGAGCACACCACAATCTCCAGATGCAAAGCCATTGACAGCCCCTGCCCCAAGCCTGTTCACACCCAGATCCTGCAGGAAGGGGGTTATGGCGGTGATGTCCCTAGATAACCTCTGGGCTTCTCTCCCTGTTGGGAGCTGGGATGTGACTGCTGCAGCCTGTCCTTGCTCCTGGCTATGGCGTTTGTTGTGGGCTAAGGGATTTGCTCTGCTGGGGAGGACTTTTCCTCGTGGTGAGCAGCATCTTGGCTTAGGGCGAGCAACCTTCAATGGTATCAGGAGTCTCTGCCTCTCTTCCTTCCACACTGGAGCCCAGCACGTACCTTTCCTGGTAGGTCTTGCTTCTGGTACAGCCCTTCTCCCCTTACTTGCTCCTGAGGGTACTGGCAGCCTCAGTATTTCCTTAGGGCTAGAATCACTTTATCTGGCATAAGTTGCTTGGGAGGGTGGGAGGTTTTCCCTGCTGCTGTACTGTGAGCCAAGTGAGCAGCTCGGTGTAGACATCCCTCTGCAGCGCTGGGCTCCCTGGGAGTGGGTGGACTGCATATCCACGTGCACAAGGCTTTCATCCTCCTAGCCCAGGACAGGATTTATCAGCCAGGGGCAGAAGTACACATACTGCCCCAGCTGCAGCAAAAAACCTGGAGCTGAAACCCATCCGCTGTGTCCTGCCTTCACGTGGTGGTTAACTGTAGCACTGTCCGTCAGCTTTTTCTCTGAATACCCATCTGAAGTCGTAATGCACTGGCTGCTCAGAGCTACCCAAGAGGGATTGTGGGATAATCTGCATAATAATATTGGGGATTTAGTCAACTCCTAGAGAATATCTGAGCAGCTGGCTACAGGCCATGAGAGAATATGAATTAAATATGTAATGTAATTAATACCTTTCAAAAAAATGTCAGGGGTAGGGCTCCAAACACACGGCTGCTGAGTTTCTTCCCCATGCACCACTTCTTTCCTTGCGGGAAAATATGCTGGAGTTCTTCCCCAAGTGCCCTCTGCATCTTCGCCTCCCAGCAGAATAAAGCTGTGCTTCTTCCTTAAACACTGGCTATTTGTGTGCTTGATTCAGAGGAGGAATCCTGCAAGAGGAGCTGCTTCAGTTCAGGAATAACACCTCTGAGCTCGCTTCTTGCGCTGTGGTGTGCAGATACCTCCCTCTCAACCGTCTGCTTGTGGTGTGGGTTGGTTTGCACAGCTTTCCCAGGGAGCAGCACAAGCACAAAGTCTGGGGGAGTGCAGCTCAGTGGGTCACAGCTGGTTTACTCAAACCTGGAGCCAAGGTCCCCTCACCACAGCGTGTGGAAAGTCACAAACAATGGCAGAGAGACCGGGGCTCCCTGCCTGCATGCTTGGAAAGTCCTGCATGAGTTTCACGTGGCTAACATGGGAAAGGTCTGCTTGGCAACCACGGAGGCTTGGAGGCTGCTGTGTCCTGTCTATATTTAGTTTTAAACAAGCTCTGGAGGAGGGGAAGGCTTTTGCTTGAGAAAGCATCCTGTTGCCAGGAGTGTGCTGCGGCTGATTCGCCGTCAGCTTTGGGTCATGGCAAGGTGTACAAGGACAGTGTCGATCTGGGGAAGGGGCTGAGCAGAGGCCAGGAGCCCTTTTGTGCCTCTCCCAGCAGATGAGATCTATCACCCAGGGAAGAGGCAGGGATGGGGCTCAAATCCCAGAGTTTCCGTATTGGGATTCATCTGTAGAATCTCGTTGTCTTTGTCAAGTCGTCCTTTGTTTGTCTCAGCAGTCCTGGGCTTCTCATAGAAGAAACCATTCTCCTTTCTGGGAGAAGCAGTTAGGAATTGTCAGAGGAAGGAATTTGAGCCCAGGTTGTCCCTTCAAGTGGGTGCTAAGTGCATCTGTCAGCACCACGTGTCCCCTGGGGTGTGTCCAAGCTGGTTGCACCCCAGCGTGCAGTCATACTTTGGTCTTGGTCTTCCTGGGCATCTGCAGGCCTTCCCACAGCCTAACTGCTGTCATTTCTGGTTATTAGTGAGTTTTTCACACTTTTGATTAGCATTAGTCACGTGTGTGTATGCCATGCTGGTTTGGAAGAGGGGGGTGTAAGCAGGGGACATGCGTCATTCATTTGGAGGGACACTTCCCAAGGCTTTGAGTTTCTGTTCCTGCTGCATAGGGGAATTTGTAACCTCTGTGTTTTGATTCCTCCTTAAGATAGGTTGTTTATCAACCAAGGGGAAAAAATATCCTGTCAAGCTGTAGGAGGTATTTAAACTGGTATCAGGGAATGCCCCTCATGAACCGTTCTTGTTTCTGTCACAGATGATTGTGAGGAAAAGAAAAACCTTCACTTAGAACTCCTAGGTTTGGTGCCTCACGAAGGCAAGCTGAATGCAGCCCTTGGGTTGGAGGAGCGTGCTATGTCCCTCTCTGTCCTTATGTCCTGCTGCAGGACTAGTGCATGAGAAGTGTCCTGGCCACCACCTTCTGTCTTCTGCAGTTTTAAGGTGAATTGTGTGCTTCTTCAGAGAGCTCAGAGGTGACATCCCCTCCTGCCCAGGAAACACAATACGCTGAACTTGAGTTTGGTCCCGAGAGCAGGATGTCCTTGTGACCATCTTTCCC